AAAAAAAAAAAAAGGAAAGTTTTATCACGCCATTACTTGTAGAAATGGAGGCATTGAGGTCATCGTAGGTACAAATGGCCGAGTCGTAGTGGCTGCTGGTGCTGGCACTTAGTGTTGACATTAGTGTTCTTTCAAGAATAATTGATATTATCCCTGACAAAGTCTGGGCCTAGAAAACTCTGATTCCTTTCATGAACTGGGTGGGCACCCACTGGAGACTCAGCTGTTACTAGCCCCTCTCCCTGCAATACAGGACGGGCAAGCCGGAGCCCCTACAGGGCCCTGCCCAAGTCTCATTACAGGTGTACCCTTTTAGCTCACTGTACCATTGAGATCATAAACCCAAGACATCGGCCTTCCTCATGCCTGCTCCTATAGGCTCAGCCCAGCTGGGACCCAGGACACTAGCCCTGGGCCACGCCCTTCCTCCCCAACCTGCCAGAGAACCAGAAATATTTGCTGCCCTCGCCTTGTCCTGCCACATTGCTCTGAGCCTCAGGCCAGCACTCTTGGTCCTTGAAAATCCCTTTCTTTACTTGAGAAAAGTTCTCCCTTTGGAGGGTCCACGCCTGGGTGAAGTCTTGTCTAGGTCATTTAGTCACCCTTTGCCCCCTGCCTGGTGCAGATTCTGTTCTTCCTTCTGTCCCTCATATGGGCTGGGCCCATAGCCATCTCGGGCCTTGTTACCCGTGGCCATAGCCAGCTGCTATCTCATGAGTTGACTCCCTGCCCCCACTCCCTCCTTCTGCCACCTATCTGAGGAATGGATGGCAAAAGCCTTCACAAGGTGCCATGTCTGGACTCAGCAGACAAGGGTGCAGTGGATAAGTAAGGAGAGGAGAGGACAGGGAGGAGCTGGGTGCCGCCTACCTTAGGCGAACAGCCTTCCGTCATTCCTTTCCCACCTGAGAACCCCACTGACTTCCTCCCTGCACTCCTGCTTCTCTCACGTCACCTCCCCTCTGTTCTCTCGAGCACCCTCCCCAGCCGATCTGGGCCCCAGACAACTGTTCCCTGTGGGCTTCCTCACTGCCCGCCCAGAGACCCCACGGCAACCCCGCTTCCACCTTGGGTTTCTTCTCTAGTCCCCTTTGCACCATGTGTCAGGTCAGTGCTGGGGGGAAACTTGTAACTGCTCCATCAGGATATAGAGCCAGAAGGTACATTGTTTTCAAGCAAAGGACTCAGCCCTGTAGAGCCAAGAGGAAATAGTTCCCAAGGGAAAAATGCCAAGAATATGGCTTAGAATTTGGCAAGACATCGGCCTGAGGAAAGCTATTTCATTTCCCTGTCAACCAAGACTATCTTGAAGATCAAAATCACATGCCTTGTGATTTTCTAGATCCTGGGGTTAAAATGTCCAACCC